CTCAGCTCTTCAGCTCAAGGCTAGTGCTCTACCACTTGAGCCACAGCACCACTTCTGGCTTTTTTTTCTGCTTATGTGGTGCTGAGGAATCGAACCCAGGGCCTCACGCATACAAGACAAGCCCTCTACCATTGAGCCACCTTCCCAGCCCAGTGGTGTGTGTTTTATTTGTTGTTGTTTGGTGGACTCACACTCAATATCTTATTATTTGGCTCAATGGCTAGCGATCATCACCTGAGTCACACCTCCAACATATTATTATTTTTTTTATTATGTCTCGTTATGTTGCCCAAGCTGACCTACAACTTAGGCTCAAACTAGATCTGAACTCCTGCCTCAGGATTCCCAGTTGCTGGTACTACAGATGCCCGCTATGGCACCTAGTTCATCCTCTGTGTATGTGTGGGGGAGGGGGTGTTAATATGAGTCTGAGGGCAAGGTTTGGCATGCATGACCTCATGTCTTTATCACGGTGTCCCTTTGGGGAAACCTTATCATCCTCCTCACAGAGGAGGAGAAAGCAGAAGTTTCTAGAAGCCATATACTACTTACAACCCCACCCAGCCATCCAGTAGTAGGCCAGCCCAGTCCAGCATTATGATTGACCAATGAATGGGTTCCTGTCCTCAGGAATTAAAAGAGGAAATGGGAAGGGAAGGGAAGGAGGTGGAGGCAGGAACTACATTTATTCCTACCCAAAGCCAGGCAGTTGAACCACTATGGACACTGTTGGATATAGTAAGTGGTCCAGTGGGCCCGAGGAGGTCCCCATAGGTATGATCTGTAAGATTGTTTCATTGACCCTCTCTCTTTGGTCCCTCTTTCCTAGTGTCTTGGTTTTAATGGGGGAGGGGAGGGGAAGAGGCAGGGGACCCAGGATATGAGTGCAGGAAAACAACAACAACAACAACAAAACCACAGCCATAAGACCCAGTTAGTCCAAGATCCAAAGAAAGCATTGGTTGAGGGCTGTGTGCCTGTAGGTGAGTTGCTTAACTTCTCTGAACCTCAGTCCTGGAGGAGCCTGGAGACGTCTATGTTCTACTAGGGCGCTGGGGACGCTGGGAAAACTTCAGACAAAGATCTTTCTTCCTGGCCCTGGCTCTCCTGGTGGCCACAGTCCTCTGGGCCTTCATCCTGAGCATTCTGACGTCAAAGGGTGAGTGGTTTCTGGGTTTTTGTTGTCATTGTTGTTCTGGTACTGGGTCTTAAATCAGGGTCTGAGGGCTGGGAAGGTGACTTAGTGGTAGAGTGCTTGCCTCGCATGCATGAAGTCCTGGGTTCGATTCCTCAGTACCACATACACAGAAAAAAAGCCAGAAGTGGTACTGTGGCTCAAGTGGTAGAGCGCTAGCCTTGAGCTGAAGAGCTGAGGGACAGTGCTCAGGCCCAGAGTTCAAGCCCCACGACTGACAAAAAAAATCAATCAATCAATCAATCAGGGTCTGGGTGCTGTCCCTGAGCTTTTGTTGCTCAAGGTTTGTCACTCTACTGCTTGAGCCACAACTCCATTTGGAGATAAGAGTCTCATGAACTTTCCTGCTTGGGTTGGCTTTGAACCTGGGTCCTTAGATCTCAGCCTCCTGAGTGGCTAGGGTGGTAGGTGTGAGCTGCCAGTGCCAGGTGCGAATGACTTCTAAGTGAAGGCAGGTTGTATCCCTTCCCTCTTGGGGGGGGGGGAGGATGTAAACCTGCCACCTCCCTAGTGCCGGGGTCTGAATGTGAGTGTTACTACAGTGTGTGCCCAGCCTTGTGTGCACATGATGTGCACCTGTGTGGGTGCATACCCCGGTGTGTTTCTCACATTGTGTTCTGCATGTTTACCTGATCCTTGCAGGCCTGGGTGAGGTGGGTCCCCGGGTCGCCTGGCTGTGCCTTTAGCAGCCTCTCTCTGTAGCCTCCACAGAACGCACAGCGCTGCTGAGCCACCAGGACGTGCTGAGGATGAACGGTGAGTGCAGTGTGGTGTCACCTGGGTCCTGGGGGGGGGGGGTCGTGGGGGATGGGAGACCTGGGATCCTGAGACAGGGCAGAAGTGTGTGTGGGGGGGTGGAAGGGAGTGTTCCCTGAGTCACCCCGGGTGACCTGACAGTCATGATGCTGTTTGCTCCAGTCTCAGAGCAGAGTGTGATGCTGGATGCCTTGAAGGAGGAAGTTGGAACCTGCAAGAACTGCTGTGAGGAGGGGGCGTGGCTGATGGGGGCGTGGCCCAAGTGGTGGGGGCGTGGCTCCAGCAATGGGGCGTGGTTTAAGCTGTTGTGGGTGTGGCTCAAGTGATAGGGCATGGCTTAGGTAGTGAGGGCGAGGCTCAAGTGAGGGTGTGGCTCAAGTGAGGGTGTGGCTCAAGTGCTGGGGGTGTGGCTCAAGGGCGAGGGCGTGGCTTAGGTAGTGAGGACCTGGATCCACTCCTGGATGCGAGGCAGCACTGATGGAACAAAACTTAATTGGTAGGGAGTGGCTCAAGTGTGATGAGGGCGTGGCTCTGGTAGTCAGGTAATAGGGAGTGTGTCTTAAGTGTCAGGGCGAGTCTCCATTGATAGGAGTCAACTTCAGCGCTTGAGATCCTGCTGAGCAAACAGAAGGCCCTGAGTTCAAACCCCAGTACCCTCATGAGGGGGCTTGGCCAATGGAGGCTCGTGGAGTGAGAGGGTGGGTCTCGGGATAGGCTGATTGGAAAAGTCTGGTGGGAACTTGGATGGGCTGTCTCAGAGGTCCAGCCCTGCTCCTCCCCTTCCCACTCCCACTGCGCTGTACAGGTTCGTGGACTGAGGCGGAGCTGCACACCGCCCTCTCCGAGCTCAGAGGGTTGCACGTGAAGCTGTTAGATCTAATGGGCAATGTGAATGAACTACAGGAGCACGGTGAGAGCCTCTTGTGCTGACCCTTATCCTGACCCTCATCTCTGACCTCTGACCCTCCCTACAACTCCTAACCCCTTATCCTGATCCTCATCTCTGACCTCTGACCCTCCCTACAACTCCTAACCCCCAAGGCAAGGCTACGAGTGGATAGACAGAGTCTCACTCAACTACAGTCTCCTGTCCCCAAGCCATTCTTGATCCTGACACCCACCGTGAACTGCTCACAGAAGTCTTGACTTTTCCTGATCCTAAGCAAAAACAAACAACACACACACACACACACCAACAAACCTGATTTTTTTGATCCTGCAGTGGCCCAGGGCTTGGCTAAAGCAGACAGGGACCGTGAGGACATCCGCACCAAGCTGTTCCAGAAACTGGAAGCTTCCAAATGCCAGAACGGTGAGGAAGGCAGGGAAGAGGAGAAAATGGACCCTGGCAGGGAAGGAGGACAAGGGGTTCTTCGGCCCACCAAACCACAGCCTGGTTACTATGGCTCAATACCCTGCATCGTGAGATCCAGCACCCTCTCTGTCTCTGCTCAGAGAACACTCAAGCTCTCTGATCTTCTCTACCCACAGGCTCCTGCGATCAGTGTCCCACATCATGGCTAACTTTCCAGGGTTCTTGCTACTATTTCTCAGAGCAAAAGGCCACGTGGAAGGTGGCCCAAAACCACTGTGCAAGCCAGGGCGCGCACCTGGTGGTCATCAGGGACCTGGAAGAACAGGTGTGTGGAGAGGAGGGGTGGCAGAGGGAGGGTGGCCTTGGGTGGGAGGGAAGTGTCAGCAGATCCCTGCCAGCTCAGACCTTTGCACCTTTCAAGGACTTCCTGAATAAGCACACTCGTGGCCAGGGGTACTGGCTGGGCCTCAGGGCTGTGCGCCTCCAGGGCAAGATTCAGGGCTACAAGTGGTTGGATGGAGTCTCGCTCACCTTCAGGTGAGTGGAGAGACTGGGGCGGGGGGTGGGGGAGTGGGAGTGGGGGCAGATCACACACTGCAGCACACGTGCTTTTAAGTGTTAACTCAGAGACTTCCTAGCTCAGGTTAGATGTTTAGGGGTGTGAAGGGTAGACCCCAGGAAATAAGTCTTAGAAAGATACACACAGGTCCAAGCTCAAGTTAGGGTGTCTAGGACAGATCCAAGCAATAAAGAGGCTAGACTCTGGGGAGGGAGGAAAGAAGGAAGGAAGGAAAGAAGGGAAGGAGGGAGGGAGGGCAGGAAGGTAGGCTGGTCCCTTGGTTCATACCCAACAATAACACCCACCTTCCACCTCACCACTACCACACCCCTTCTTCCCCCCTCCCTCCACTTCCCCTCCCCAATCTCCACAGCCACTGGAACACAGGAGAACCCAACGACTCTCGCGGTCAGGAGGACTGTGTCATGATGCTGCCCTCGGGGCTGTGGAACGATGCGCCATGTAGCAGCGAGAAGGACAGCTGGATCTGCAAGAAGAGGGTTAACTGCTGACCCTGCCCAGTGTCCCAGAGCCACGCCCACTGCTGAGAGACACGCCCACCACCCGGAGCTGCTTCACTGTCTGGAGCCACGCCCACTATCCAGAGTCCTGCCCATTGTGCAGGGACATGCCCTGTGTCCAGAGCCACTTCCACCATGCAGGGCCACACCCCCTGCCAAAACCATGCCTACTGCCGTAGATAGACTCGTGTACTTGGTAGATTTGGCTTGCACATTCGTGGAGTTCACTACCAAAGATTTGTGTGTGTGTAGTGGGCTTACACTCAGGGCCTGGGCGCTCTCCCTGAGCTTTTTTATTCGAATCTAATGTTCCACCACTTGAGCCACAGCTTCACTTTCAAAGATCTGTTTTCTATCTCTGTGAAAAAGCCACTGGGCCCAGCTAAGCCCTGTCTAGTCGACTCCTGCATTAGCAATCTCTGCTCCAACTCGAAACTTTCCCTAAATTCCTACTTAGCGTAACTTCCACCAATTCCAAAAATCCCAGCTCCCAGGTTCTGGTCATCTGACCCCACCTCTCTTCCTAAACAATTAGGATGGAGCTGTTTGATTTTCCTCCATTCCCCACCCTTAAGGCTGGAAGCTGTCATCACAGCTGGAAGAGGCATTAATAAAATGCTTAAAACATGAATCCAGGCTCCTAGCTCTGGTAATCTGTTTGAAGCTTTTATCCCAGTGACCCTCCGCCGGGCACTTTCCCAGTCTACACTGTTTATTTCTTCCCTGGCCACTGGTGCAGGGCTTGGCTCAGTTCTGGGGACACACGAAAAGGATCATAGCCAGTCCTTATTCTGGGAATCTCTTTCATTCAGCCCCATTGCTGAGATTACAGGCATCTCAATCAAGCAGGAGAAACTGCTCTGATTGGTCCCTTCAGCCTGAAATATATAGTTCTTTGGGTCATTAGAAAGGGCAGTCAAGAAACACATCCCAGGAAAGACAGATTTTTGAGGAATGATGGGAGATCCACAAGATGGCACCGGGGAATGGGGGGTGGAGAGTTGTGGGGGGGGAGCAGAGTTTGAGGAAATCCAGCAAGAAGCCAGCAAGACTGGATTTTGGAAATGAGGGCATATAGCAGAAATCACACAGAGGTTTAGCAGACAGCCTGGCTTTCACTACTTCACCCTGAACTTCCCCAAGTTTTCTGACTCTATCCCAGGGACCTGGGGGCTCTCTGAGACTTTCCAGGACACAGCTACAATAGAGAACGATAAGCCAGCATCTCTTAGTTCTATGCAGAACTGAGTCCAAAATTAAAGGCTGTTGAAAGCCCCCCCCACACACACCTCCTTCTCTGCTTCCAACTGCCTGTCCACAGCAGCATGGAGCAGAAAAGCTTGTGTACCAATCAAGGTACAGAATGATACCGAATTTTCCTACTATTCCTTAAGACCCCCTACTGACCCACTTCACTGCTAATCCATAAACTGATTTGACTTGTCTTTTTAAAAATTCCACATACACTGAACAGCACAGGGCATCTGACCTATTATGTCTGAATATTTTTAGCATCATGTTTTGTGTTGCTAATTTTCTGCTCTGTAGCCCCACTTTCACAGATGATGAGGTGTATGCTCAGCCTGAGCCAAAGTTTGCTGTCAAATAGAATAAGGTCTTGGGTCACAATTCTCCAATAGTTGATGTGGTGGGTCACTGTCTTACTTGTTTTTTATATACTGTTTTTGTTTTACATATATTCCAAGGAAATGGTATGGTTATTTTTTGTCTATATTCTCGCTTGGCTTTTTCACTCAATATTGGGGTTTTACCACTTGAGCCACACTTCCAGCTTTTTTGTATATCTTTGCTAGTTCTGGTGCTTGAGCTCAGGACCTGGGCACTGTCCCCGAGCTTTTTTTTTTTAATTATTGTGAAAATACTGTACAGAGGGGTTACAATTTGTCCCTGAGCTGTTGTGCTCAAAGCAAGTGCTCTAACCACTTGAGCCACAGCATCACTTCTGCCTTTTATTTTGGTGGTTAATTGGAGATAAGAGTCTCACAGACTTTCCTGCCTGGGCTGGCTTTGAACCATGATCCTCAGATTTCAGCCTCCTGAATAGCTAGGGTTACAGGCATGAGCACCAGCTCCCGGCTCACACCAGGGATGATTTTGCCATTCTGGGGCTTACTTCCAGTCCAACAGAGAGAACAGGAGATAATGAGGATGGATACAGGCGAGTGAGAGAAGATAGAACATTCTGGGATAGCAAATTTCCCTTCTTTCCATTTCTGGCTTGGAGATTGGAGGGTCAGAAGACAAAACAGAGTCTGCTTGGAGAGGCCAGAGGAGCTTGGTCTGGGGAGCAGAGTAGGAGGCCAGAAAGGCCATCTCCAAGTGTCCCCCAAAACACCCCCCAGAGTGACCTCAGGGGCTGAATCAGCAAGTCATAGAGACCTCAGGGCCAAGTCAAGGTTTCCTGGATGCCATGACCTCATATCACCCTGCTTTCCAAGGAAATGGCCTTGAGATAGGGCATCCTGCCTTTGCAGTCTCCTAGCTCCCTCCTCCCGGCCCCAGGAAAGCCCCTCAGAACTTCTTCCCAGGAAGACTGAGGCCTGTGGGGAAGCGGTTGGGCCTCTCCAAGGTGGGACACGTTCTCCTCCGGCCCCTTTCCCATTGGGCTCCTACCCCGTCCATCATGATGGCCCAGACTCTCGCCTCTCCTGGATTGCAGGTGACTGGAATGGATGGGGTTTTTTGAGGACATGGAGAGAAAGCCCAGCGTGTGAAGCCTGTGTTGGCTACTGGCTTTGTGAGCTTGGGCCCTTGACTTTGCCTCTCTGGGCATCCGTTTTCACATCTTTCAAATAGGCATGAAAGTAACAGTACCAAGCTGGATACTGATGCTCACACCTGTAATCATAGTTACTCAGGAGCAGATCTTAGGATTGTGGTTCCAAGACAGCCTGGACAAGAAAGTCCATGAGTCTTACTGCCAATTAACCACCAAAAAGCTGGACTTGCAGCTGTGGTTTGAGTGATAGAGCACCAGCCTTAAGTGATAAAGCTTAGAGACAGCACCCAGACGCTGAATTCAAGCCCCAATATGGGCATACACCCAAAAGAGTGTTTACTGTGGCTAGGCTCTGGGCCATGGGCTGGGGACATGGTGGTAACCCCACACTCCTGGAGTTCATGTCTTGGTAGAGGACAGGCAATGAATACACAATCAAACTAAATGTGTTCACACTTGAGGCCAAGACAGGATCATCCCTCAAACCCTGGAGATCCAAGTGTCTGTATAACACACAAGGACCCTATCTCAAAAAGGAGGAGGAGCAGGGGGTGGGGGTGGGGGTGGGAGGGTGGGGAACGGAAGGAAGGAAGGAAGGGCAGGAAGGAAAGGAAGAAAGAAAGAAAGAAAGAAAGAAAGAAAGAAAGAAAGAAAGAGAAAGAAAGAAAGGGAGAGAAGAAGGAAAGAGTGAGTGAAGGAAGGAAGGAAAGAGGGAAGGAAGAAGAGAGAGAGGGACAGAGAAGGGGAGGAAGGGAAGGAAAGGAAAAGGACAGAAAAGAGAAGGGAAGGGACAGGAAGGTGCTTAGGGCACGGTAGAGCTCAGAGGTAGAGTACTTGCTTAGCATGCACAACACCACAAAAAAAATAAAAATAAAACAACCACAAAACCCCCTTTATGGGAGATTTATGCTTACTTATACATGAGGAAACGGAAGGCTAGAGAAGGTTAAAAAAATTACCCTTCAGGTAAAGGAGTACAGCTGGGACCCCACAACCTTCCCTTATCCACACCTACCCCCAATGAAGCAGTGGCCAGGTATGGCCAGCAAGGGGCAGCATCCACATTGTCCTGGCTGACCCAGGAAGTTCTGGAATTGAACAGCCGGACTGAACTTGAAAAGTCACACAACCCGCAAAGGGCCAAGAGCCCAGGTCCTTTGGAAGTGGGCTCTTGGCCTCCTGGGTCCCGCAGGGTGGGGTCTGGGATCCTGACATAGAAAGATGGCTCATGATCTGTGAGAGAGGATAAAAACCCAAACTCTGGGACTGGGAATGTAGCTTAGTGGTAGAGTGCTTTTGCCCAGCATGCATGAAACCCCAGGTTCGATACCTCAGTACCACAGAGAGAGAGAGAGAGAGAGAGAGAGAGCCGGAAGTGGCGGAAGTGGCACTGTGGCTCAAGTTTGCCTTGAGCAAAAGGAGCTCAGGGACAGTGCTCAGGTACTGAGTTCAAGCTCCAGGACTGGCCCAAAACACCAAACTCTGGCTTCCTGGATCTTCCTAGAGTTTAGAATCCAGGATTTCTGGGGTGCCCAGTTCTGGGAAAGGTCACCATACAATATTGCATAATCTTGTATAACAAAATCCCAGAATCTCCTGGCCCAGCCCTAAGCTGACCTGAGGAGCCCCAGCTGGGCCCCTTACTGCCTTGTCTCTGGGGCCTGAGAGAGGCAGAGAGGGGGTGGGAAACGGGGCCTGAGATACTATCTTGGGGAGCCCTGCAAAGTGTAGGGTATGGAAAAGCCCACCTCTGGGTACCACTGCTGAGACTCTGCCAAAAATAGCAGTCATTCTTGGCTGAGTGCCTGTGGCTCATGCCTGTCATCCTAACTACTCAGAAGGCTGAGATCTGAAGATCAGGGTTCAAAGCCAGCCTAGGCAGAAAAAGTCTGAGAGACTCATCTCCAATTAATAACCAGAAAATCAGAAGTGGAGCTATGGTTCCTGTGGTAGACCAGCAGCCTTGAGCAAAAGAGCTCAGGGACAGCACCCAGGCCCTGAGTTCAAGGCCCAGGACCACTACGTGAACATGTGCATACACACACACACACACACACACACACACACACACACACACACACATGCACAAATCAGTCCCTCAGCCAGCATCTCCCTACCTCACCCCAATAAATAAACAAAAACAGGCTTGGACTCCAGGAAGGCAAAAGTACAGATCTGATCTCTTCACTCTTCCTGTTGACCTTCTTTTGAAGGGGGTGAAACTGGGGGGGAGCACGGAGGAGTGCATGTAGCTATGAGGTCAGGAACACACTCTTCTGGCCCTTTTAGGAAGGGAGCACAGCTTTGGGCTGGGTAATGAGAACCCAAAAACCCTACGGACCAAGAAGAGCTGCCTGAGCCAACCTCAGTGGTTGAAGAGGCTTTGGCACAAACTGGCACTCCAAGCTGAAGAGAGTTGGAGCTTTGAGCCTGGAGAAGGGAGCCATGGGAGGTTGTATGCAGGAAGAACTATGATCTTCCTACCTCTGCCACCTGAGTAGCTGGGATTACAGGCATGCACTACCAAGTTCCACTTTCTGTTTGTGCTCTTATAGCAGCTGCCTCTGTGTGTGTGTGTGTATGTGTGTGTGTGTGTGTGTGTGTGTGTGTTGGGAAGGCCCTGCACTCCACACACTGCTGAAGCATAGCAGTCCTCACGTGAGCCCCAACTTAATTCTTCAGAATTCACACTTCCTCCTTGTGCTAGGTCCCGGAGGGGTTGTGAGTTTTCAGGAATCCTCCAGGGACAAGCTGCCCAGCACACCTGAGCATCCTGGGAGGCCACTCCAGTGCCCTCCTCTGAAGGGGAAACTGAGGCCTGAGGGCCACAGGGGTTGCTGAAGCTACAATATCAAAGACTGGGGTCAGACCACAGGGCTATTGGCCTTTGGTATAGACAATCCCTTAGTTGGCTTGGGATATGTGGGAGAGGGGGTGTTCTGTGTTATGAACCCTTTAAAAGGATGAAAACACAAGTAGCCTGTTTTTCTCTCTCACCTCCTAGCCAACCTAGATTTCTGCAAGATCCTGTCTAAACAAGCCTCTTCCCCAGCCCTAAAAAACGGCTGACACATTTATGGGATGTACAGTTTCGTCTTCATGCAACTCCACAAATGGACCCAAGGTCATCATTTAAGTGAAATAAACGTAGGACTCCACTCACAGGAAGCACCTAATTATCAGAGCCACAAACCGGAAGTAGAGCCACCGAGACCGGAAGTGGGGATAGGAAGTGGGATGACGGGTCCCCAGGGTCTAGAGAAGGAGTTAGTATTAAATGGGGTCAAAACTTCAGTGTGAGGGACATGGAAAGTTCTGGAAAAGGAGGGTGGGGATGGCTGCAGCCATATCAGTGAGCTCAGTGTATTGAATTATAGCCTCGTATATGGGAATGATGACTGTTTATTTTGTGTTTTACCATAGTCTAAACAAGACAGAACACAAATGGACCTCCATTTCTTCCTCTGCACCTGTGAATTCTCCTTGCCAGCCATGGATGTGTGTCTGTCTGTGCCGATCCCAGGACTTAAACTCAGGGCCTGGGTGCTGTCCCTAGGCTTTTGTGCTCAAGGCTAGCACTCTACCACTTGAGCCATAGCTCAACTTCCAGCATTTTCCTGGCTAATTGGAGATAAGAGTCTCATGGACTTTCCTACTCTGGTGGGCTTTGAACTGCAATCCTCGGATCACAGCCTCCTGAATAGCTAGGATTACAGGTGTGAGCCACTGACACCCCTCCAGGAATAGATTTTAACCAAGAAGGGGTGAGGAGAAACAGTACTCAAAATCCTTACGGTGCATAGGACAGTCCCCTGATAAGAAATCATCTCCCAGAAGCCAAGATGAGACATTCACATTTAATTATACCTCCTCCTGGGAGCCCCACTGGATTTGAGGTGTATCTGTCATTCCCAACACCCCCCCACCAACAACAACAACCACCATGCACACATTTTTAAACACCAAGACAATTTGAACAGATGGGAGGGGAGAGCCCAGGACTGTGATGGGTAGGGGTTGGGGGTCAGGACAGGGTTCAATTCCTTTGTCCCCTTTCCACAGCTGGGATTCCAGCTGGCTCCTGGTGAGTCTGAATCTAGAATGTTTTTGGAGGAATTTTTTGGGAGGGTCCAGTCGTGGGCCTGAACTCAGCCTGGGCGCTGTCCCTCAGCTCTTCAGCTCAAGGCTAGCACTCTACCACTTGAGCCACAGTGCCACTTCCGGCTTTTTTATTTTTTCTGCTTATGTGGTGCTGAGGAATTGAACCCAGGGCCTCAAGCACTCAAGGCACGCACTCTACCACTGAGCCACTTTCCCAGCCCACTCTAGAATGTTTTTGGTAAGCCAGGCCCTGCCCGGCCCCCCATCCCTCCTCTCCCAACTCTGGGTTCCCCCAGCCTGAAAGGAGAACCAACACATTCAGACCTGGGGCCACATCCACCCTGCTTCCTATTGTCCCCTGAAGGGTACAGGAGATGTAGGTTGAGGGCACCCGAAGGAAGAGGGTAGTGTGACTGGATCCCCAGGGACTCCAAAACAAAGCATGATCCTCTCTGAGAGAAGTCAGGGCAGGTCGGGAAGGGGTTCATGTCTTTCCCTCTCCAACCCCCAGGGTAGCTGTAGGCTGAGACATCAGATCTTGCCAGGCTCTAAGAAGCTTAGAAACAGCAACTTCTTCCAGGTCCCATTTCATGCCCTTAAAATATCTTCCTCCTTTCTGGGTGGTGCTGGTGGCTCATGCTCGTAATCTCAGCTACTCAGGAGGTTGAGATCTGAAGATCGTGGTTCAAAACCAGCCTGGGGCTGGAAAGTCCATGAAGCACTTATCTCTGTGAACCACCAGACAAGCTGGAAATGGAGCTGTGGCTCAACTTGCATGCATGCGCACGTGCACGTGCACCCATGCACACACACACACACACACACACACACACACACACACACACACACACACTTACCTTAGCCAGTAGCTCATACCTGTAATCTCAGCTACTGAGGAGGCTGAGATCTGAGAATCGTGGTTTGAAGCCTGCCCAGGCAGGAAAGTCCATGAAACTCTTATCTCCAATTAATCACAGGAAAAAGCCAGAAGTGGTGCTGTGGCTCTAGTGGTAGAGCACTAGCCTTGAGCAAAAAGGGGCTCGGGGACAGTGCCCAGGCCCTGAATTTGAGCCCCAGGACCAAAAAATAAAACTAAAAATCCTCCTCTTTCTTCCTATGTCTCTGTCTCTAGGATGACTGACCGTACACTTGGAAACCCCAGGGAAGGAAGGCCTGGACACCCCATTTCCTGACCCCCCCATTTCATCCATCAGTAACTTGATGACCTGTTACCTCTCACACCCACCTCTCCCCTCAGCCACCGCCCCAGTTCATTCTCTCCACACCTGAGCCAGGTTAACAGTCCCTTCTCAAGGCTCCTCCCATCTGCCTGCGCCCTGAGACAGCCTCTTTCCTGACCCGCATGCCCACTGGATCCCCAACACAGCCCCCCCCTCATGTGACCAAGACCCCCTGATGCAGAAGAAGTTCCCTCCTTTAAACACCTTAGCCAGGGCCCTGGCACTCACGCCTGTCATCCTAGCTACTCAGGAGGCTGAGATCTGAGGATCACAGTTCACAGCCAGCCCAGGAAGAAAAGTCCCTGTGAGACTCTCATCTCCAGTGAAACGCCAGAAAGCTGGAAGTGGCTCAAAGTGGTAGAGCACTAGCCTTGAGCTGAAGAGCTGAGGGACAGCGCCCAGACCCTGAGTTCCAGCCCCCAGGACTGGCAAAATAATACACCACCACCTCATTGCTCTGCCCCCATCCTGAAATCTACCCCCCTCTCCTCCTTACTGTCCCTTTCCCAGTCACTTGTCTAGCTGTGTCCTGGCCTTGACCTCCTTCCTTAGCCCAGAGCAGGCTGAGGTCCACAGCTAGGGACCAGGCTATCATTTACTCAATAGACACGTACGGAGGGCTTGTGGGAAGGGCAGCGTGGGTCTACTGTCCTAACCAGGAACACACCGTCAGGGACACATCCCAGCCTGGTCACTCTGCCTTCATGCAGACAGACATCCAACCCCAGTGGATGGCCATGTCCAGCCCGTTCCTCCCCCCAACAAAGAATCAGAGACAATATTTTCTGTGTGTGCCAGTTCTAGGGCTTGAACTCAGAGCCTGTGTGTGGCTGTCCCTGAGCTTTTTCACTCAAGGCTGGAGCTCTACTATTTGGGCCACAGCACCCCGCTTCTGGCTTTCTTGGTGGTTCACTGGAGAAAAGCATTTCACACAACTTTCCTGCCTGGATTGGCTCTGAACTGTGATCCTCAGAATTTCAGCCTCCTGAGTGGCTAGGATGACAGGCTTGAGCCGTTGGTGCCCAGCTCAGGGACAAATCTGAAGAAGAGCACAGTAGACAAAATATCGTGAAAGTAGCCTGGTTAGCTGCCTCACCCAGACTGCCTGGGTTCAAATCTCGACCCTACTTGTTTATGTGCTGTGTAGCCTTGGGTAAGTTCCTTCACCTCTCTGAGTTACAAATTCTTGGTCCAGACTTTGTTCACCAAAGCAGGGACTCCCAGGATATTCTAAAATATAAATGTTTTAATCCTGTAAGACACTGGCTACGCATGGTTCCTAGCCCTATGTTGCTTCTAAATTAAACAATACCATATTTAACCTGAAAAAGTTACCACACTCAACTTTGATTCAGTCTTTGTTTGGTCATTTCCTTCCTTCAGCTTTTGGGAGGGTCCGCATGGCTGGGTCTCAAGCAGTGTGATCACCTGAGCACAGAAGGTAATTATAGCCTGGACTTCCCCAGGTTCTAGGGAGCATCAGAAAAGAACTGTGGCAAGCCCATAATTGGGTCTGTGAAAATAAAAATCAACAGTGAAGAGAGAAACCTCTCCTGTTGCTAAAATCTGGCCCCTGCTCACCTCTCTGATTGTCCCTAGCTCACCAGGAGGACACTTCAAATTCGCGTGAGTGTGACTCTGTGTGTGTGTGTCTGTGTGTGTGTAGCTGTCTGTAAGAGACATTGGAGGGTTCTTGAGAGAAACAACCACAAGCCGAGCATGACAGCTCACACCTGTAATCTCAGCTACTCAGGACATGGATATCAGGAGGATGGAGGTCAACCTGGAAAGGGGTGGGGGGGATTATTGAGACCCTATCTCAGCCAATAAAAAAAAGCCTGGGCTCCATAGGTCATACCTGTAGTCCCAGATGTTGGGGAGGAGGGTATAAATGAAAGGATTGTAGTCCAGGCAAAAGGTGCACGATCATATATTTTTACAAGAATAACAATAAGATCAAAAGGATTCGAATGCCTACCTAGCAAACAAAAGGCCCTGAGTTCAAAGCCAGTATCTGCAGCCTCTTGATGGTTGAGTGTAGAAGGGAGACTATCTGGGATTTGAATCTGCCACTATGCCCAAACTCAAATCTCAATCCCCACATCCTGAGTAGCTGGGACTACAGGTATAACCCACTGTGTCAGGCTCTCTCCATGTCTGTGTGTGTGTGTGTGTGTGTGTGCGCCAGTACTGGGACCTGAACTCAGAGCCTTAAGCACTCCCTTGGCTTCTTCACCCAAGGCTGGTGCTCTACCACTTGATCCATGCCTCCATCCAGCTCTTTCGCTCATTAATTGGGGATAAAATTCTCTCTGATTTGTCTGTCCGGACTGGCAGTGCTTAGATGCTGTCCTGTTCTTGCAGCTAGAGTCTGGCTCCTGACCCTGGCCTCGTTTTAAAACCCAGATCCTCGCTGTATCTGTGTGACAAGCAAATTGATTGGAAGGCACCGAACAAGGATGGCCATAGAGGAGAATCAGTACTCAGGTGGGGAGATTTTCAGAGACTAGTCGTGGCAAAAACAAAGACTCTTGCTTCTAATTTCACCTGGGAGGAGGAGGAGTCCCCCCCCCAGTCCCTACCTAGCCAGGAGCGGAGGGTGAACTCTGTGTGTGTGTGTGTGTGTGTGTGTGTGTGTGTGTGTGTGTGTGTGTGCTAGTCCTGGAGCTTGAACTCAGGGTGAACTCTGTGTGTGTGTGTGTGTGTGTGTGAGTGCTAGTCCTGTAGCTTGAACTCAGGGCCTGGGCACTGTCTCTCAGCTTTTGTGCTCAAGGCTCGCATTCTACCACTTGAGCCACAGCTCCATTTCCAGCTTTTGGGTGGATCATTGGAGATAAGAGTCTCATGGACTTCCTGCCTGGGCTGGCTTTGAACTCAGATCTTCAGCTCTCAGCCTCCTGAGTAGCTAGGATGACAGATGTTTTCTTTTATTTATTTTTTTTACCAGTTAAACTGAATGTTTAATGCATTTGTAGGTACAGAAGGAATGCAACAGGATTATAGTTTATATATTAGATGTATATGTAAAGGATGTTTCATTTATCAAGGAATTTTTTCATTTTCATCAGAGCCATAAGCAGCAGGTACTACTCCTATGAACACTCCATTGCATCTTTTCACATCATTATCATTGTACTATTTCACAGTAAAATTTTTGAAATTAGAACTCTTTAAGTTACAGCAAATGGCAAATTCTAGTGCTAAAGGACCAAGGATTTTAAGTAGAGGGTCTACAGGCACAAATCTCCTACTTATTCATATTATTAAAACAGTAATAAGGGAATGAGAACTATTTTAATGGAAAAGGAACTCAGAAATGAGGTCATTAAATACAACTAAGTTCATTTTAAATATAAATACCATGTATTTCCTGATTAGTACCAGGTAATATCTAAATTGTCTATCCAGAATTCTGGTCTTAGAGAAAAAGGTCAGATACAACTACAAAGAAGGTGCTTCATATCATCAGGTCCATTTTTCAAACAACTGAGATCCTTTGGGGAAAATCACATTAGTCTTTCTTTTTATCAGAGATTTCTGTTGGTCCTTTTGTTGGTAATCCATTTGTGTCTGCAGTCTTGCAGTCTACTATGCCTTTATTTTTATTGTTGGCTTCTTGTACAGCTTTTTTAGGCCATATACGGCCAACAAAAGGGGAGACCAGAGGGTATAAGTATGGTTCCAGGAATTTTTTGAAGATCCAGAGCAGAACTGGAATGACGATACAAGGAATGCACACCATTGTCCCAGGCTTGAGCTCTGAAACGCAAACCCACTTTGCGATCCCGAAGCCCCCAGGCCAATTCTTTTATTTATTTTTTTATACAGCAGTTCTAGGACATGAACTCTGAGCCTGGGCTCTGTCCCTAAGCTTTTGTGCCCAAGGCTAGCACTCTACCACTTGAGCCACAGCTCCGCTTTTGACTTTTTTTTTGGGGGGGGGTCCGGTCGTGGGACCTGAACTCTGGGCCTGGGCGCTGTCCCTCAGCTCTTCAGCTCAAGACTAGCACTCTACCACTTGAGCCAGTGGTGCCACTTCCGGCTTTTTTCTTTTTGCTTATGTGGTGCTGAGGAATCAAACCCAGGGCCTCAGGCATGCAAGGCAAGCGCTCTACCACTGAGCCACCTTCCCAGCCTGCTTTTGACTTTTTGCTAGCTAATTGGGGAGATAAGTCTCATGGACTTTCCTGCCCCATGTGGTTTTGAACCCTCTGATCCTCAGAGATCAGGAAATTTTAAGAAATACCCACAAGGTGGGGTGGAGAGAACCCTTGATGGCCTGGTCCTCAGCCAAGCAGGAGAGGGAAGCTGGGGAGCCCCTCCCCCTGCTACTCCCTCCCCATGAAACGCAGCCCCGCTGGGCAGCCGGGAACCCCATAAAATAGTCAGTAGATTAGGAACCTGCACAAGTGCAACTCAGCAGGATGGAACCTCAAAGCCAAGGTGAGGGGCAGGGATGGAGGCCCCTTAGTGTGACACCAAGGTGGGGGAGAGGGGGAGCTTGGGGAGCCAGGTAGAGGGATTGAGGGGGGCTGGGGTCAGAAGGGACTGGAAAAGGAGAAGCTGCACTTCTGGAGATGAATCTGGTGCTTGTGGGGAGGGTGGGGAAGGGGGCTCAGCATTAAAGCAGAAATGATAGCTCCCCGCTCCTGGCCCCCATGTCTGAGTCTCTGGAAATGACCTGGACCCAGGCTGGACGGGCAGCAGAGGCTCAGAGATGTACAGACGCCCAGATAGATGGACGAAGGCAAGGCATGGTGGTAGAGGGGTCACAGAGACAGAGAGACATGGAACCATAGAAGAGGTGGATAGAAGGAGCTGGGGGTCCAACTGAGACCTTACCCCCCCGTCCCCCCCCCGCTTCATTGGGACCCCTGGCAGGCTTCCAGGATGTTGGGACTCGTTGCGTGAGAGCCCATCCATCCACTCATTCTCCCCCCCTGTACCCCCCATCCCCACCCCCTCCTGGCAGACGTGTTCGAACCTTCCAGAAAGCGCTGCTGCAGGCTGGGGACGCAGTTCGCGCTGTTTGTGCTGCTGACGGGGGCGCTGTGGGCAGGACTGATGACCCTGCTCCTTCTGTGGCGTGAGGACACCCCCTTTTTCCCAGCACTTCCCCCTTCATCCCAGCACCCCCAAATCCACTGTGCCCTTCTGTCCCCCTGTCTCAAGCCCAATGTCTTCATCTTGCCTCCCGACTTGAGTCTGGGGCGGGGAGGGGTTCCTTCCCTGTAGTGCCTCTGCCCAGCTTGGGGGTGAGGGGCATTTAACCCTTTCCTGGCTGCTCTCTTCCCCTCCCCTCCCCCTCGCAGACTGGGACACGGTGCGGAATCTGAAGCAGGTAGAAGACACTGCGGCCCAGAATGGTATGGAGAAGCCAAGATAGGGGTGGAAGGGCGGGGGATGGCTGTGGGGACACCCAATTCATATCCCCTTTCTGTCTCTGGTCACAATAGGGCTGCTCTCCACCCGCGCCCCTTCCCTGCTCTAGGTCTATGTTCCCCATCTAGAAATGCTCCAGCCAGGCTGACTGTGTGTTCATGCATACATGCAAGATGACAGGAGTAGCCCAATGTCACTGGCTCACATTTGTAATCCCAGCTACTCAGGAGGCTGAGATCTGTGGACTGTGGTTCAAAGTCAGCCTAGGCAGAAAAGTCCCGGAGACTCTTATCTCCAATAAATTACTCAAAAAGCTGGAGGTGGCGCTGGGGCTCAAGTGGTAGAGCTCTAGCCTTGAGCCAAGAACTCTTCCCCCGCCCCCCTCTCCAAGATAACTCAGCCCTCTGTTTCTTCCTCTGGAGGGGTATGACTAGGGTTTTGACTTAGGGGTCAGCTGAGACCAATTAAGGTCAGTTAAGCCCCCAGATAAATTCCTGCTGCTTTTGACAACCTCAGTCATTTAGCCCTTGAATTTGATGCTCCCTCCCCCTCCACAAAAAGGGGGGGGGCTCAGTGGTAGAGTGCTTGCCTCGCATCCATGAAGCCCTGAGTTTGATTCCTCAGTACCACATACACAGAAAAAGCCAGAAGTGGTGCTGTGGCTCAAGTGGTAGAGTGCTAGCCTTGAGTGAGCAAAAGAAGCTCAGGGACAGTGCCTAGGCCCTGAGTTCAAGCCCCAGAACTGGCAAAAAAAAAAAAAGCATGCAAAAATCAAGGCCACTGGCAGCTCCTACTTGTAGTCTTAGCTACTCAGGAGTCTGAGATCTGGAGGTTCATGGTTCAAAGCCAGCCTGGGCAGAAAAATCTGCAAGACTCCATCTCCAACTGAACCAGTAAAATGCTGGAATGGAGGGAGGCTCAGGTGCAAGAGCACCAGCCGTGAACAAGAAAGCCAAGTGAGAGCAAGAGGCCCTAATTCAAGCTCAACACTGGCACCAAAACAAAACAAAACGATGATATTGTGGCAAAAGCCCCTTGGGGGCTGGGATGTGTGGGGTTCAAGGGTCTCTTTGTGGCTCTCTCCCTCTACCCCAGTCTCTCTAGTTTCCAAGGACTTGCAAAAATATCAGAGTGATCAGATGGCCCAAAAGTTGCAAGGTGAGCCACCAGTGGTTGGGGTCTGGGAAGGCCAGCTGTGCCCCCCCCACGTCCCCACACTTCGGTCAGCCTAAGCAGCAGCAGAAGAGGGCAAAGGGTGTGGGGGTGGGAGGGGGTCTTCGAGTCCCTGTGTATGGTTGGTTTCCTGCAAACAGCTGCTCACCTGGAACAGAATGTGCAAGCCCTCCAAGCTGAACAGAAGCAAATGAAATCGCAGGGTGAGACTGAGGGGCACTGCCCAGGAGGGAGGCTGGGGCCCCGATAGGGGAACCCTCCAGCACCCCCCTCCCATAGTCCCCATCTTTAAGACCAGCTCTTCCTCCTCCTCGCACTGGTCAGACTCCCATCTGGTCGGGAATCTGCAGAGAATGCAAGAGGATCTGACCCAAGCCAAATCCTTGAGTAAGGCCTGGGAGGGGCTGGAGTGAAGAGGGGGAGGTTGGAGGGAGGACCCAACAGGAGGACTCTGAGCACTGACCCTGTGCCTCCCCCCCACCCCCGGCCCCCAGGCTTGAATGAGAGGCGCACTGTCTCCGACTTGCTGGAGAAACTCCAGGAAGAGGTGGCGAAGCTGTGGGTGAAGATCAGGATGGCAAATGGTGAGTGTGGGGGAAGGGGCAGGCCCACGTGGGCTTGTGTGCAATCGCACGCGTGCATGGGTGCACCAGGCAGCATGGAGTGGATTGGGAGCCCGGTGAGGACTCAGGGGGCACGTATGGATGATGCAGGTGTGTCTCTGTTTATGACAAGACAGAAGGGGGTGTATACAAGAATGCTCTTTCTAAGCCAGATGTTAGTGGCTCATGCCTTAAACCTAGCTGCTCTTAAACCAAGCTGCTCAGGAAGCTGAGATCTGGAGGATGGCAGTTCAAGGTCCACCCCAGGCAGAAAAGGCTGACTCTTCTCTCTGGCAAAAAGCCGGACTGGAGATGTGGCAGGCACCACCCCTAGCAAGAGTTTAAACCTACTCTCCCAAGGAATGCTTTTCCTGATGCCAACTGCTCCCTCAGCCAATGGGGGGGGGGGTGGAATACCTCAGCCACAGCCCCACAGAGGGCTGCTGTGTGTGGCTGAGATCCTGGAGGGATTTTTGTTGTTGTTGTTACAGGTGTGAGGTGGTATGTGTGTGTATGGGCCTTGAACTCAGAGCCTGAGCACTGTCGCTGAGCTTTTGTGTGCAAGGCTAGCGCTCTACCACTTTGACACAGTTCCACTTCCAATATTTTGGTGGTTCATTGGAAGTAAGAGTCTTATGGACTTTCCTGCCTGGGCTGGCCTCAAACTGCGATCCTCAGATCTCAGCCTCCTGAGTAGCTAGGATGACAGGCGAGAGCCACCTGTGCCCGGCAGTCCTGATGTTTTTGGGGGGAGTCGGATGGGGTGCAGGAAGTACTACTAAGAGATGGTGAGGTGGCTGAGGGCTGCTTGGCATTTTTGGCTCTCTGTGATGGTGGTGGTGATGCAGAGGTGATGGTTGGTAGTTGGTAACTGCCAATCCTGCGGATGGGATGGTGCTGGTGGCTGAGATGGTCTCACTAAGAACTGACCAGAGGTGACCAAGTTCAAGGCTGAGGGAAGTCAGTTGTTGGTGGGGGGGGGTGAGTTTGGTTTCAACCCAGACCCACAAGGGCCTCTAGAGACGACACCAGACCCCACCTTGCCCCCTCTGCCACCCCAGTGCCTCTTTGAATCTCTCCCCCCCCATGGAACCCCAGGCTCCACGTGCAACACATGCCCCGAGGGGTGGCTCAATTTCCAACAGAAGTGCTACTATTTTGGTGAGGGTACCAAACGGTGGCTCCAGGCCCGATTTGCCTGCAGTGACCTGGAAGGGCGGCTCGTCAGCATCCACAGCCAGGAGGAACAGGTGGCCTGGGCTCTGGAAACCATGGGCAGTGGGGCAGGAGAGAGGATGGGAGCGACTCAGCCCTGACCCCCTCTCCCCCCACACACACATCCTGCAGGACTTCCTGAGCAAACATGTTAGCAAGGATGCCTGGATTGGCCTTCAGGACCTGGATGTGGAGGGCGAGTTCGTCTGGATGGATGGGAGCCCTGTGAGCTATAGGTGAGGAGGGGGGTCGTATCTGGGGGAGGCAGAGGAAGCAGAGAAGCCATGGAGGAGAGTCTGGGGCTCGGAAGCCTGAGGAAGCAAGGCTGCAGGGAACGCTGGGGTTGAGGCCTTAAAGGGAGAACTGTATGGACCACTGGGGAGGTAGAGGCAGCGAGTTCAGAAAGCTTCAAGCACACGCCAAAGGGGACTCCTGGGCTTTGGGGGACATGTGGTTCTGAAATGGGGGAGATCCAGGTAGACTCAGAAAGAAGGAAAAGAGCCAGATATTCGGGCTTATAAATCCTAGCACCTTAGGAGGCTGAGATCTAGAGGATCACAGTTTGAGGCCAGTCTGGACAGCAAAAAAGAAGTCAGTGAGAATCTTATCTCCAATTAACCAGCCAAAAGCCAGAAATGGAGGTGTGGCTCAAGTGGTAGAGTGCTAGCCTTGAGCAAAAAAGTTAAAGGGCAGTATGAAGGCCCCGATTTCAAGACCCAGTATCCAGTATCCTCACCACACACACACAAACACACACTGAAAGTTAAAAGAAGGAAAGGGCCGGTGGATGGGCTGAGGCTCGGAGGGCTGAGCCCAGGACACAGAGAAAAGGCTCCTTGCCTGGTCCTTTGACCCAAGACTTTTATTCCAGCAACTGGCTTCAGGGGGAGCCCAACAACGCAGGTTCAGACGAGGACTGTGTGATGATGCGGGGTTCCGGGCACTGGAACGATGCCTTCTGCCGCAGCCAGCTGGACACCTGGGTGTGCGAACGGCTGGCCACATGTGGACCACCTGCCCTCCCCACCTCTGGGACACCCACTCCCAGACACACCCCCTGACCTCCCTGTCTGCCCCTTCCTTGGCCCTGGGTACAGCCAGGCCTAGAGCAGGGCACTGAGGATTCCCCATGAAGGCCTGGACACCTCTTCACCCCTGCCCTCCTGTCCTGTCCCACACAGCCTGTCCCTTGCTCTCACCACCCTCCTCCCCCGTGTCCCCATCTTTAAGGGCTCAATGGATGCTGGCAGGCTGAGGCTCTGGTTGCCTGCAGCCAGTTTGCCTGGAGGCACTGACCCCACTCAGGCCTTGAGGGGAGAGAAGAGGCTGGGTGGGCTCCAAGTCAGCCCACAGCCCTAAGGCACTGGGAGGGAAGCGGGGTGCAGGTCAGGATCGCAGGAGGCCCTGGTTGGCCTCTTTTGTGTTGCTCAAACCATCCTTGCCTCTTCTCCCCTTCCATGACACAGCTAAGTTCCTAGGAACAGCCAGGGCACAGCTGTCGAATGGCACCCAGAATCCTCTTACTTCTCCACCTGCTGCCATTGGCCTGGTTTCCCTACCATGCTCACACCACCTGAACTGATTGGTCTTCTCTTCACTGCCTCAAGCCTTCCAGAAGTTTCCTTCTGGCTCAGAGAAGAGGCCAAAACGTCTTATACAACCCCTACGTGACTGCAGAATTACCTTCAATCCCACCTCTGCAAGTCCGCCTCACTTCCTTGAACATGTACACTTGCTCCTCGGAACCTTTGCACATGCTCCCCCACTGCTTGCTCTGTCCCTCATTGCGGTCAGTGAGGCCCATGCCAAGTAACTCCTCATCCTCTTTCCCCCATACTTTCTCACTATGGCACTTTTCTCCTCAAAACAAAGGAAGACCATTTGCTAGCCGGGTTTGGTGGCTCACATCAGCTACACAGGAAGGAGGTAGAGATAGGAGGATGGCAATTCAAGGCATGCCTAGATTAAAAGTTAACAAAACTCTTAGCTCAACAAATAATCCGCCCAGCTACCAGTGGTCATGCCTACAATCCCAGCTACTCAGGAGCTAGACCTGAGAATCTCAGTTCAAGGTTAGTGCAGGCAGACAGATCTCTGAGACGTTATCTCCAATGAGCCAGCAAAAAACTGAAACTGGAGGCATGGCTCAAGTGGTAGAGCTCAGCTCTGAGCAAAAACAGCTGAGTTCAAGCCCCAGTACTGCCAAAAATTAAAAAAAAAAAAAAAAAAACTCTAGGCAAGGTGGTTCATACTACTCGGGAGTGAAAGGTGGGAGGAACAGTCTACAGCTAGCCTGGACAATAATCCCAAGACTCTACCTTAAAAAAAAAAAAAAAAAACAAAGGAGGCTGGAAGTGTGGCTCAAAGAGTCGAGCACTTGTCTAGCAAGTCCAAGCCCTGAGTTCAATCCCCAGTGTTAAAATAAATAAATAAATATGTACCCATTTGCCTTCTGCCCCCTCCCCAGTCAATGTGAGCTGCAGGACAGCTTTGTGTCCTCCACAAACGTGTCCCCAGTGCCTAGAAAACCCCCAGTCCTCTACCCACAGCTGGCCTGCTCTCCCAGAGCCCTTCCTCCTCCTCCCTGCCAACCCTCCCGACCTCCTGCCCCTCTCCCCTGCCATCCACCCACCTCCACGGCAGCAGCCCCCTGGCCCAGATACTCCTACACCTCTCCCTCCGCCAATAAAAAAAGCCAGCTTCTGGGGACCCCAGCTCCTCCCTCCCTGCCCCCCCTTCATGGTCTCAAGCTTCCTCTCTTCGCTGACCCCCAAATCCTCCTCACCTCCAACCCCCAAGCCCTATACCTTGTGCCACCCTGCCCCATCGGGATTCCAGAGCCCACCGCCTTCACAGACCACAGCTACTGGCTGCTTCTGAGGTGCAGGGGAGGTGCTAAAGGGTTTTATTTATCCCATTACACGCCTTCTCCCCTCCCCCTGAACCCCAGGGTGACTGGGCCCCCTGGCAGCCAGCTAGGGGTCCTCAACAACCATGCAACCTCCCACCCTCTTCCTAAGCAGGGGGGAGGGATGCCTGGTCCTGGGGGTGAGGGAGGGGAGGTGGATGAATTTTCCCCCAGAGCATCTGGAGGGACTTTTCCTGGAAGGGAGCACCAATGGGGAGCGTGGGTAGAAGGGAGCAGGGGTGGAGGACGGCTGGCCTGTGATCTGTTCTCTCTCAACAAGGGGAACTTGTTCTCCAATCCTCATGCTTTGTCCTAGGAAGCCTCCTGGCGGCCCCGGATGTTCCCCCTTTGTGAGGTGGGTTCCTCCAGCCAGCCTTCTCAAAGGGAGGGTCCCCAGAAATGCAAATGCAAGGACGGACCCTCAGTGCTGCAGAATGGGAGTCTGGGGTCCGTCCAGATGGGGCCTGGAGATGGTAGGACTCGGGTTCAACGAAGTCCCCGGCCCACTGGGCAGAGATTCTGCACGTGCGCCCGGCTCCCAGGTGGCACGAGGCTGCTGCCAATGGTCCCCAGAGCGCACTGCGGGGTCGGGGCAGGCCACCAGCACTCCCACTCCATCCCTGTGCACCCCCTTTCCCATGACCACCTGCCCGTCTCTGGCCCATCTTAGCGTCACCCTGCTCGCCCACCTCTACCCTGCTCGCTCACCCTCCAGCCTTTTTCTTTGGGGAGGGGGGGAGGTGGTGGGGCTTGAACTCAGGGCCTGGGTGCCATTCCTGAGCCTTTTCACTCAAGGCTAGCACTTTACCACTGAGAGCAAAAGCTCTACTTCTGGTTTCCTGGTGGTTCACTGGAGATAAGACATTCACAGACTTCCCTGCCCAGGCTGGCTTTGAACCGTGATTCTCAGATCTCAGCCTCTTGAGTAGCTAGGATGACAGGCGTGAGTCACGGGCGCCCGGCCCCTCCCCCCCCCAGCCTGGGCGCGGGGTCCCCCCACTCCCCCCCCACACACACACACATGACACGGCCACACGGAGGGGGAAGGGGCTCTCTGCATCCTTTATCTCCCGGGTGGGGTGGGGTGGTCAGCGGCCCTCCAGGGCCCGGTCCCGCGCGATGACCGCCTCCTCGAACTTGATCATGAGCGTGGTGCCCTTGTGCCAGTGCGCCGTGACCTTGGCCGGGAAGCCGCTGTGCGTGAGCACCGCCTCCACGATGCCCGCCGTGAAGCTGGCGCAGTTGAGCGTGCTGTTCTCCTTGGGCACCGAGATGTAGGTGTTGATGAGCGGCTCGCGCTCGATGATGTAGAAGGTGCGCGCGTCGTCGTTGGCCTGCTCCAGCTTGTCGGCCTCCTTGCCGAACAGCGCCTTCCACACGGCGCCCTTGACGAACAGCAGCGCGCCCAGCACCTTGGTCTCCCGCCGGGCGCCCTTCTCGCGCGCCACCAGCGCGTCCA